GTTAACAATTATAAGAGGTTCCTGGGCCACCTGAAACCTGCTTATGGACTCTTCCTGTGGCCCCAGATTAAGAAAGCCCACTATAAAAAGATGTACACTTTGTCTCATTGTCATCATTTGAAACTACAGTATTTGTTTATTGCCTACTCTTGTCAGATATTTTATAAACTAGCTAAGATTGTTTCCAGCAAATGACATTGTTACTAGCAAAGTATACTTCTATACAGACACATTGTCTATAGAGGGTAAGAGAGAAGAAAGGGAGGGAGAACATGAGTACAGGAATCCCTAGGGATGAGGATGATATAGCTGCCAAGTTATTCAGGAAATTAGAGGCCCTGAGTTAGAGACCATTCTAGATCAATGAAAAAACATGTAGAATATGCACATGAGTATTAGTGAACTTCCATCTTAAATGCCATCGGAAGAGGAATAGGAAAGTCGAGTGAAATAGTTTAAAGTGGTAAAAACATTTAATACTTTTTTGGTTCTTTGAGAAGAAATCCATAGATGTCACAGCGTTTCAGCAGAAAGCTTGGTCTTTGAGAATTATTGATGAGTTTTACAAGTAGAATTTCTCTAGGTGGATGCTTGATGGTAAAAAAAAAAAAATGTTGGTTTAATTTACTTGATTTTTTATTTATTTGTGTTTATATTGAGGTGTATTTACTATGAATATATTTTGTTCAGCTTTTCTACTTTACATTTGTTGTTCCTGTTTTCCATATTACCTGGCCTTCAGAGGTTTTACAGGAGTATTTGAGCATGAGAAGGTAATGGACACCTTCACTCTTCAGAGGGGAAAGGGAATGGTTGTGATGTTAATCTCAATTTGAAAATTTTGACCTGCCTAAGGCATGGGTGAGTCCAGGTGGGAATAGAAGAGGGAAGACTAGAATTCTTTAAATCAAAATTTAATCAGGCCGCTAACAATGCTGGCGCACATTTAGTAACAGACTTATGAAAGTGGGCAGTAAATTTCAGTGGCAAGGGCCGGCCCCGTGGCTTAGCGGTTAAGTGCGCGCACTCCGCTACTGGCGGCCCGGGTTTGGATCCCGGGCGCGCACCGAGCACCGCTTCTCCGGCTTGCTGAGGCTGCGTCCCTCATACAATAACTAGAAGGATGTGCAACTATGACATACAACTATCTACTGGGGCTTTGGGGAGAAAAAAGGAGGAGGATTGGCAATAGATGTTAGCTCAGAGCCGGTCTTCTTCAGCAAAAAGAGGAGGATTAGCATGGATGTTAGCTCAGGGCTGATCTTCCTCACTCAAACACACACACACACACACACACACACACACACGCACACACACACACATTTCAGTGGCAAAGAGAAAAATATGAATTAAATCAATGAGGAACTGTTTATCTGTTGACTTAGGAAATAATAAAAAAGACAGTTTTGGCAAAGTTGGGATGAAATGATACTCGTGACTAGCACAGGTCATGATGAAAGTTGATACAACATTTTTGGAACTTAGTTTTGCAGTTTGTGGCAATTGTTCACAGTCTTGGACCCGTTTCTGGAATTTTATTCTAAAATAAAGCATAAAAACGTACATGAAAATGTTTATTATAGTATTTTTTATAGCATTAACAAGCTAGAAATACCCTTAGCAACCCTAGAGGAATGATTAAGTAAATTATGGAACAACAAACACTTGATGGAATGCAATTAAAAACGATGCCAAAGATTGTAACATGGAAAAATGCTTTTGATAGAAGAGAGAAAGACACAGCCATATGTGTATTTATAGTATGAGGATAGCTCAATAATAATTAGCTGTGCGTTGAACAAAGGCTGGAAGGAAATAGGATAAGTGAAAAGAAGTTGATGCATGAGGGTGATGTCAGTATGGATGAAATTTAGATATCTTTAATTGCTATCGTTTTGTTCAGTAATGGAAAATTTTAGACAGTCTTCCAATGTTGTATGTTTATGAATTATTTTCAATATTGAATTGGGAATTTAAATATTTGATATGAAGAATGTTTTTGCCCTAATGGATAGCTATTGTTCCAGAATGATTTATCAAATAGTCCATTCTTTCCCTCCTGATTTGAAATACCACCTTTATTACATAATTTCCATGCATCTGTTCCTCGATTCTGTACTTTGTGGTCTATCTCTGTGCCACTATTGCACTGTTTAAATTACTATGGTTTTATTGTATATTTTGCTTTGGTGTGGGACAAGTTCTGATTCCCCACCCCTACCTGGCTGAGATGTCATTCTCTTTCTCAAAACTTTTGTTTGTAGTCTTGTGTATTTATTTTTCCAGGTAAACTTTTAGAATAAGCTTGTTGAGTGTCATTTGGAAAAATTCAGTTTGGGTTTTGATCACAGTACGTTAAATTTATAGATGAATTTGGGGAGATAATTTTGCCTATTGTACATCTTATTGTTTCCAGAAGTTTCAGTGAAATATTTGAGTGTTTTTTTATTTCAGATATAGTGAATTGATAGAAAGGTGATAGTACATCTCTCTTATTTCTGCAGAGAAGTGGAGTGATTCTGATATTGATGCCAACAAATTCACTGACGAAAGTTTATAGTTTTCAATTGCCTGAAACAAAGGCTGCAATTGAATCCAGATGGGGAAATGATGGAGGCACAGTGGCGTTCTGTAAACTGGAATGTACCTTTGCCATTAATAAAATTGGTGGCCTTTTAAGAAAAGTAGCAGATCTTCCGTGGCCACAGTTATTAAAAGGACCCCCATCTTAGCCAAAAATTGTCACTTTTGGCTGGTTGGTTTTGCTGTACTTGTTCCTCCCCATGTTTTCAGAAACCCATTCCTACTGCTGATCGCCTTTGTAGCTTCATCTGAATCTCCTGTGAGCTTTATCTAACTTTTCTGAATGAAAATGTTCTTGTTCCTTCATATTCGTATTTTCTTTCCCTGTTTTCCTCTCCTGCTAATCCCTCCAGCCCCTTCTATCTCAGTGAGTCTCCCTGTTGGCTTCCTTATCACCTCCTCCCCTCCTTCTCCCATAATATCTTTCACTGTGTTTTTATGATCTCTTTGTGATTAGCAAATAAGAGACTCCTTTTATTGCTGAATATTGTTCTTAGTGCTAGGACTTCCGGGCATCTCTCTTTAATGGATAGGACCTGTTGTTTATCTTTTTTTTTTACCAAGGGTAAAGTGTAGTGTAGTCTTGAAAGGGAGGCGTAACTGAATTATAAAACTGTACCGTTGGGCGTTGCATTGCATTGGAAAGGGTTGCAATTAAACTCTTTCATAAGTTGTAGTCCTTGTTCACCCAACCAAATAAAATAGTAATATGATCGTTGTTTTGAATAGATTAGATACCCTTGTGATCTGTGAAAAGCTTTGATCTGTTTATACAACTTGGTTTCTATTTAAAAAGAAAAATCAACAGGTCAGGTCAGATTCTGTCCATGGATAACTACAGTACCTTTAGCCACCAGGAACATGACTAAAGCAAGCTGTTCCTCCTCTTTTAGGAAATGGAATTTCATCTAAGTTTCCTCTCTCAGTCGTGTCAGACGTTTATTATTGTTTTTTTGCTTTTCAGATCCTCTTCCTGGACTTTTTTTTGAAGCTATTGTACGGTAGATTTTTCTTGGCATGTGACTTTCTATTGATTACATTTGTGCATGTGTGTGCAGGCTCACACACAGAGAAAGGACAATTCAAAATTGTAAATGAGTGCCTTCTTTCAGAACTCCACAATTTGTATTTATACCAATTCATAATTTCAGATAGCATTTCATGTATGGGATGGATTGCAATGGTGCAACGGATTGCACCAGGAAAACATAGCCTTTTTAGTTTTGAAATTTTAGATGAAATAGACAGTGGTTACTGATTTTGTTTGATACTGATGGTCCTAACTCTTGATATCCTATGGAACATGATGCTAACATCCATCGAAGGCAAACAGATGTTAGGGAGACTAGACTTTTCTCTGTTCCCTTTTCTCCCCATCACAGGATGAGGGACTCTTGGAGAGCGGGTTTGTTTTTGTTGGGCAAGCACACAAAAGCCTGGAGACTTCTCCACACTGGCGGAGCTCTGGAGGCCTCCAAAGTGGGTGACCCTTCCCCTTTCCTGGTTTCCATTTCCCTGCCGCTCCCACAGGCTGGGCGGAATGTGCCTTCTCCCTGGAGGCCCCCTTTTTGTATTGCCTTTTTGTGTTTGAGGGGAGGGAGTGTCCCGAACCCTTCTAGTCCTCTGGGGTCTGGAGACAGTCTGGATCTGGCAGGCTGGTCCATGGCTGCTGCTCCCTTGGTCGTGGCACCGCTGACCCAGCTCCCGCGCAGCCTCTGCAGGATGGTGTACTGGAGAGCGCCAGCCTGCTGCCCACTTCCCTGACGTGCCTGCCTTCCTCAGAGTGTGCTCGTGACCCAGGGGGGCAGCTCCTCTACTTGGGACCAGGGGACTTAGCAGGGCTTTGTGCCAACCAGAAGCTTTCAGGAGAAAGTGTGAGGCCAGGCTGGGTGAGGAGGAGGACGTGGGAATCCCTCAGGGAAGACAAACAGCAGTTGGAAAGGGCACAGCGAGTGTGGGAGTGTGAGTGCTATTTGGCCATGATTGTGAATGTTTGAGGTTCTTACAACCTACTGTGGTCCAGGACAGGGTAAGCCCATGGCTAAGAATCATTATTTTGAAGTTTTATACAATGGTAGTATCTCAGGTACAGGAAAAATTAATAGAAGCAATGATGTTCATCAGGTAGGAATTCAAACAAAGTGAAAGACCAGAAAGTATCACATTTACACACCTAGGAAATAAAAAAATTATTCCCTACGCTTCAAACTTTTTTAACTTTAGAAACAGAACAAACCAGCTCTGACACCCGTACTTAGATATATCAGAAAGCATCTCCTTGTCATCCAAACTGTTGTTGTTGGAAAGATGGATTCATGATATTTGAGCTCAGCCACGTGAAGTGAACGTAACGCTGTTTTGGACCCGGGCTGTTTTTATTGTGGTTTCTTGGAGCCAGGACAAAGAAGTCTGACGATGCCCTGACTTATTCGTTTTTCAGGGGCAGATGACAGTCTATGCGAAGTTTGGCAAAAACGTTTATCTTCCTAAAGATGCCGAGTTCTACTTTATTTATAACGGATCTCATCAGAGACACATCGTGATTGCAGAGCCCACGGAGGATAATGTTCTCCAATCCAGCATTCCAGGTGAGGGAGCCTCTTTACTGTGCAACTGGGAGATCTGTACGCATCTTCCCTCCAGGGATCGAGGCTGGGAGGAGGGCCAGGAGGAGAAAGTAAACAGTGCTCCAGGGTGGGATGGGTGTGTGTGTGAGAGAGACAGACAGGGAGTGAGGTTGTGTGTGTGTGTGTGTGTGTGTGTGTGTGAGATAGAGAGAGAGAGACAGAGAAACACCCCGGTTTATCTCCCATCTGAGGTTCTCCCAACTGTCTCAGCCTTGCTTTGGACCCGGCGGGCCCATCCTGCTGGTTGCACCCAACCCTTCAGGTTGGGTGTGCTTTGGATGCGATCCAATGGAGGAGACACTAATCTTAGTGTTACCTTCTGTAGTCCCAGAGATGGCTGAGGCAGAACTGAGACAGTTGGTCTCCCTTCCCCCTTCCTCATTCCCCTGTGGTCATTCTGGCAGCCCCAGTGTCCGCCTCTCCCCTGCTTGCTCCGTTTGGTGGCTGGAGTTCCTTCCTTGGCACCCTATCCATCCAGATTCTTCCTTACTGGATCTCAAGCTCCAGAACTTTCCCTTCCCACCACCAAATGTTCACATTCTGACACCTGTGATTCTCCCAGGTGTCTTCTTCAATTACCATGGTGACAGATGACAAATTAATGTGTCTTTTAATGGGTTATGAGCAAATAGCCCTTCTCAGACAGGATTGTTTTGTATTTTCATTGGGGTTTGGGTTGTGCATTGAGACATCAAGCTCTGGCTTAAAGGTGTAAATAAGGTGTCATTACCTGCAGGGAGAGAGAGTGTTTGTTGTTCTTCTTGTTTGTGGATTGGTCAGTTTTCTTTAATTGTGGGTGTTTCAGGCCCTCTTAAATTCTGTCATACAGGGAACCTTCAGTTTTTCTTATTGGTAAGACTGCCCTGATATTTAAAGGAAGAATGTTTCTAAGTGCTTCTTTCCTCTATCTGTTACATGTGGAGAGAAGGTTGACAGTAAATGTGCAGACGACACAGACATCGTGAGAACCGTAGATGTACAAAGACCTTTCAGCCCTACCTGGGCTCGGTCATTGGGTCAATCTGTTTTGCAATTTCTGAGACATGGGCAATTTTAAGCACTTCTGTCTCTGGCCCAGTAACTCCTGTCCTTATAAGAAAAAAAGAAGTCAAACCTCATTAATGGCACAGAGTCTCTTGGCTGCCGGTCTTGCCTCTGCCCTCTTGCTTTAACAATTACCAATTTACATTGGTATCTTTCCTGCCTTTAGCTCCCCCACTTCTCTTGGTTTTCTCTTATCCAGTCTCTTACAGAGAAGGAATAAAAATAACTAAAGCACCACTCCTAATATGGGAACTCTTGGTTTGTCTTTTTCTGTACTTGCGTGTAGGGATGAGCCTGTTTCCCACTGCTCGTGTGTTAAAATCTTTGTGGTTATATTGTGGCCTGCTTTGAAGTGAGGGTTCTCACCTTCATTTTAACAGACTCCCATTTTAACAGACAGGTGACAGTCCTTGTTTCTGAACCTTACATTTCCTTGGTCACGCTTTCCCAGGGCAACCTTTCAGAAGTCTGTAGAGCAGATTTCTGGAGCGTATATTGGACATGGATGGTCTGGGGCGGGTCTGCATTCTGTGCCTGCACATTGGACCACTTTTAAAGAGGCATTGTGAAAATGGCGGTCATTATCACTGAGTAAACTTGGGGCGCTCTTGTTCCTTGAAGCCCTGGCAGCATGGCCTTTGGGGAAAAGCCCTGGAGAAGAAGGCTGAGCAGGAATGACTTGTACCCACTAGCTGTTTGCTTGAGGGCCACTGGTGGCTGAATGTGAACCCTCCTTCTGTCCAGCTATGATTATCATAATCACATAGGTTTAGTGGTATTAATTCCTAAAAGTTCTGCCAAGGGCAGCATAAAAACGTACTTGGGTAGAAGTTCACCAACCTTGACAACAGGAAAGAAGAAGAGTGTAAGGAGCAGGGACAGAGAGCAGGATTAGGTGACCACCCACAACAGAAGTATTCAGAACACCTACAAGACAAAGAAGCCATTCTCAGAAGAGGGGGGTGGTGAACAACATACGTAAACATGTCTGTTGAATGGTTTTCACCCGCCCTAACTCACATTCAGAGGAGCTCTGTGGAATTAGGGTGAACTGGTTAACTTTGTGGTGCTGCCTTAAAAAACTATCACCTAAGTAAATATATAAAAATATATGACTCAGGAGGAAGTGGCAGAGCGGAGAAGGGCAAAGACCTGTATGAGGACAACCTTGAGTTCGTGGGTTGGGGCAGAAGTGAAAGGTGAAGGTATGCTTAATAACAGTGTTTGGTGATGAAGGTAGGACAGACACTGAGGTGCTCAGAGCTCCTACAGGTGAGTTTTAAAATCAAGAGTCCCTGGAAGAAGGTAGAGTCAGCTTTCATCTGGCCCCGCAGGCTCAGCAGCATTTAGAGATGATTGGCCACATTTCCCTTCTGCCCTGCTACCCTGGAGCGTGAGGTCTGCCTAGGCAGTGTAGTGAGACTACTGACCGCTGATGCTTTGGACTCGGGCAGAGCATCTCCTGCAGACTCTGAGTGAACTGTTCACTGTCTTGTCGTCCAGGCCACGGGCTTCAGGAGACGGTGATGGTGTCTGTGTGCCTCTGCTCGGAAGGTTACTCCCCGGTGACCATGGGCTCTGGCTCGGTGACCTACGTGGACAACATGGCCTGCAGGCTGGCCCGTTTGCTGGTCACCCAGGCCCATCGCCTCACAGCTGCTAGCCATCAGACCCTGCTGACCCCGTTTGCCCTGACGGTGGGAGCATTGCCTGCCCTGGACGAGGAGCTCGTGTTGGCTCTGACCCATCTGGAGTTGCCTCTTGGGTGGACTGTCTTGGGCAATTCTTCACTTGAAGGTGGGTCTTCACCAGAAAATTCACATCTCCTCTCTGTCAGGTTCAGAATGTGCCTTACAATTTGTTGTGTGTTTGCCTGGGTGGGTTTTCCTGCCTACTTTTGGCCTGAGCCTTGCTCTGATGTGGCTGGGTTCTCTGAGGTCCTGAGCCTCTCATCTCTGGGCTGGTTGATGCTCCTCTGTTCCAGGAGGTGAAGAGCTTTGCCTCAGGAAGAAAGGATTATTTCCTTGTGGGAGGCTCGTGACCCAGCTGCTTTGGGGTCTGACTCTACTTCCCTTGGCACATTTTCTTTTTGTGAGTAGGCGATATTGCTGCCCTGTTTCCAAATAGGTAGAGTCCTCAGGCAAGGAAGAACGTACAGCCAACTCTGCAACACTTAGAAGAAATGTGACCCTGCAGGAAATGTCACCAACGTGTTGAAATCTTTAAAAATGTAATTACCACTGAAAGCATTCATTTATACAGATCTTCCTTGACTTACGATGGAGTTACATCCCAATAAACCCATCATAAGTTGAAAATATCGTAAGTCAAAAATGCGTTTAATACACCTCACCTACCAAACGTGATAGCTTAGCCTAGCCTACCTTAAACGTGCTCACAGCACTTACGTTAGCCTACTCGTGGACAAAATCATCTAACTCAAAGCCTATTTTATAATAAAGTGTTGAATAGCTCATGTGGCTTATTGAATATTGTACTGAAAGTGAAAAACAGAATGGTTGTGAGTGTATCAGTTGTTCACCCTTGTGATCCCGTGGCCGACTGGGAGCTGTGGCTCCCTGCCCAGCATCACGAGAGAGAGAGAGAGACAGAGACAGAGACAGAGACAGGATTGTACTGTGTATCGCTAGCCTAGGGAAAGATCAAAGTTCAGAATTCGAAGTATAGTTTCTACTGAAAGTGGATTGGTTTTGCACCATCATGTACTTGAAAGATTGTAAGCTGAACAATTGTCAGACTGTCTGTGTTTGTACTTTTGGAGTTACTTCTGGATGCCCCCTGTTTACTAAAAGACTGAATAGCCTGTTGATACCATTAAATGCACTCTTAAAACCATTTGGAATCTGTGTATGAACAGAGATAAAATGTTATATATAAGCCCATGCTACAACCGAGGCTACACTGTTCTGTGGATGCTGCTTATGGTGATTACAAGTTACATAATTTTGTTGGAAATAGAGATATTGCTCTGTATTTTACTGAACACAACATATACTCTTGCTGTTTTTCTATATTCTTCCCATGACTTGAGCTTTATGGTTAGATGATGCTATTTTTAAGAGTCTCTGCTTCCTGGTAAATTCCGGTTACAGGTTGGTTTAAATTTAATGTGGATAAGATTAAATGTACTACTCTAGATAAAGGGGTATGATTTTTGTAAACAGAATCATAAGGCCATAAGCCACAATCAGAAAGGGTCTCCATTTCTTTCCTTTACTCAGGGTTATACTGAAATTCTCCTGGGCACTTAAGGATGTTAAGACCTTGGATGAGAGAAGTGACAAGTTCAGCGCTGAGCTGTGCCTGACTCCCGTGTGCTGCACTTAGCTGATTGGTAGCTGATTGATGTGTATGAAGGGGTGGGCTCCCGTGGGGAGTAGGTGGTGTCTGTCCTGCTTGCTGTTATCCCCAAGGACCTACCAAAGCACTTGGTACATAGCGGGTGCTCAACAAGTGTTTAAATGAATGAAGAGTGCATCCTGAGACCTATGTCCTAGATGTGACTATTTCAGTTCTCCTATATAAATGTATATATAGGAAAAAAAATGTTTTCTGGCTAAGAATCTTTCTTCATATATATACACATGTATATTCGTATATATTCATTAATATATACATACACATATATATGTGCATATATGTTCTCTGGCTAATAAACTTCATTTTCTTAAGCCTCCTGGCTTAAAAAAAAATTCTGTCAATAATACTGGAGGGTGTTTTAGGTTTGGAAAGGTGGACCCATTTTGACAAAGACATGAAGTTGCACTCAAGGCCGTGAGTAAAGAGCCTCACGGCCTCGTGGAGAGGCAGATGCGGGTCAGTCACGGGGCTCCTTCCTTGCCCAGCAGCTCCCTCACTACAACAGCTTGGAGTCGGCAGTGGTTCAGTTTGTGCCTCTGCAAAATGACAAATTGTTGAAACTTATGGAACTTCATAATTGTACGTGAATAGCTTAAACTAGAGCCTCCGAAGTGGGATTCATGTTGCCCACGTGCTATTTATTTTTCGTCCCAAAACTTAGAAATAAATTAAGATTTCCTAATCTTTAATCTGTGGATTGATAATGGTACATTCATACAGTTTTCTGTGTTGAGGGTGTACGTTCAGTTATTTTTGCTGATAGACATACATAATCAAATTAAGTCTGGAGAATACCAGCCTAACCACCAAGTTGCCGAGGGTCATCTTATTGCCATTTTCATTGCTGTTGGGAGTTGTATTCTTGTTTTCTAAGCCTCCATCTGTCATGACCTTTTAGTTTATCCATATCCTAATAACAGGCAGATTTATGTCACCAAGGGGTCTTTTCTGACCTCTCTGCCATACTTACATAGATATATGTGTGCTCATGAGAGAAAAATCAGAGCAGTTCCTTTACATGGTGAGACATCGTTTTCTATGGGAAATAGTTGTAGTGTCGTGGTTGTTAAGAATATGTGCTCTGGAGCCGGGTTCAAATCCTGGCGCTACAGCTTCCTGGCTGTGAGGCCTCCTGGGCAAATTATTTTACTTCTGATGCCGCAAAGCTTTAATTTCTAAAATGAGGCATAATAGTAGTCACTTCATTGGCTTATTGTGATGGTTAAATTGGATAATGTTGGTGAAACTCCTAGAACAATATCTGAACATACTGAGTTCTCAGTAAAAGTTGACTTTCATGTGTTCACGTGAGTGGACTTCCATATATAAACAGTTTATTGCATGTACATATGTGAAAACATAGTGGGTCTGGACAAATGAAGCTACAGGCAAAGGATAAAATCCTGGTATTGTAAACAATTCCTTGAAACTTTCTAGGAACTTTTCTGGACTTTCTCTAAGAACAGTTTATGGTACTTGAGGTAACATTACCTGTAGCCTAGACTTGTAATGGAATATTCTACACCATCAGTGTTGAGGGATGGGGTTAATACCCCCCCCCCCTTTTTTTGCTCCTCTGATTGGATGAATTCCACTGCTCTGTCTTCTAGTTCACTGATCCTTTTCTTCCCCTTGATCTGGTCTGCTGTTGAACCCTTCCATTGAATACTTTATTTCAGTTACTGTGTTCTTCAGCTCTGTGATTTCTGTTTGATAGTTTTAATATTTTCTATCTCTGTTGAAATTCTCACTTTGTTCATGCATTGCTCTCCTGACCTCGGGGAGCATATTGATGACCATTATGTTGAACTCTCTATAAGATAAATCACTTATCTCCATTTCATTAAGATCAGTTTCTGGAGATTTATCTTGTTCTTTTGTTTGGAACATATTCTCTTGTTTTCTTCAACTTGCTGTGTTGGTTCCTGCACGTTAGATAAAACAGCTAGACTGGTCTTGTGTAGACAAATCTCGTCAATCAGCCCAGTCCAAGCTCCAGGTTGCCTCTCAAACTTTTGTGATAGACCAAGTTGCTATTTTTGTTCTTAGTGGCTCCCAGTAGTTGAGGGTGTGCCAAGACCCATCAGTGTCCTAAAGGAGAGGATCTCAGTTAGCACCTGGATGTGGGCTGATTAGAAGCCGGACCCTCAGGCATAAGCTAGGAAAGTATGTAGCCACATTCCTTCTAGGGAAAGACTAGGAGGTGGATGTTTCTGCCTGCTCCCTGTACGCTGAGCCCTGGGAGGATAGTCTTGGTGCATGCTTATGTGCCCATTAAGAACTGCTCCATTGTTTGCTGTAGTCCTGTTGGAAAGCCCCATTGGCTTTCAGAGCTAGATATTTTGGGGGCCCATCCCTCGAGTGGGAGCCTTAAAAGTTGGGGTGCTATATATGTGATCCAAACCCTTCTCTCCTCAGGAAGAAGCTGGGAGTTGGGGGTCCTTCCTGATTGTGTGGTGCTGTGCCAGGGGTGGGGTTTATGGCGAGACTGTGTCGCAGACTTTCCTTCCCATTTCTCATTCACCCGACATGTAGGAGTCACTCAGCTGGTTTCTGGGGTTCTCTCAGAGGGGACCGCTCCCTGTGTAGCTGCACGTTGGGTGCTTCCACGGGAGGAGGAAGGTCAGGAGTCTCCCATGTTGCCATCTTAGTCCTTTGCCTTCAATGTAGTTGGGTTTTAATCTGAGCAGTTTAGAATCTGCATCTTTTTCTAGTGTACGTATTTTGTTAGTGTTGCTTGCCTTTGAGGTAGATAAATTATAATAACGCAGTAAGAAGGAAGCTGTGGCATGTGGCCCACTGGAGTTTGTTATGTATTAGTGGTAGTGGCATCGTAAGGGGGAAAACAGTTTTTCTCCTAGTAATTATTTCTTGTAATACTTATTCAAAAACTATTTAAAAGCTTCACTATTCACACTTATTAAAAAATTCTTTTTGTTTATGCTTTTTGGGGGAGTGTAAATGGATGTTACTGAATGAGTGTTGATTTCTGTAATGACTTTGTCATGGGAGAGTCTGATGGAAGCCTTATTGTGAAGCATTACTCTATTTCCTTGTGTTTTATAATAAATCCCTCGTTTTTTCCCCTTTCAGTCACTGGGAGTTACCAGGAAGGCCTGAGAGGCTGGAGCAGGGCCAGAGTCTGAGTGGAGTGTTGTGTCTCACAAAGAACAGCAGAGCCTTCTCTGGGCTCTGCATCTCACCTATCACTACTCACAGTGCAACCTTGTTATGTGTTCCAGGGAAGGAAACATCCAGGTTTTATTTAATTTTATGCCATAAATAAGATTGGATTCCTATTTCATAAAATTAAATTCATTTCTTTCTGTGAAATAGCTTTCATGATAAAAGCTTTTGTGGGGTCTCGGGACCCCAAATTTGCAGTAAAACTGAGTAGTAATATAATCATTATCCAA